GGGGTGGGGGGGCGTCCCCGCGTGGGGATTCCCCCCGCCCTGACCCCGCCGGGGGCGGGGATCCCCCTCCCACGTGGGCGCGCGCCCGCCCCCGGTGACGCCACGGCGGCGCCGCTCCCGGTGACGCCACTGCGGCCGCCGTGACGTGCGGGGGGAGGGGGGGGGGGGGGGGAGGACAGGACGGGACGGGGGCGGTCCCGGGACCGCCCGGCGGCGCGAGGCGCTTCCTGCCGCGGCCGCGGGTTCGGCTCCGCGGCCCGGCCCGGTACCGGAGCGGATCGGAGCGGAGGGGCCCCGGCCCGGCCCGGTGCGGCGGAGGGGCCGCGCCATGCCGAGCCGCCCCCCGCCCCGCGCCGCCTGAGCCGGGCCCGCGCCGCCGCCTGCCAGGTGCGGGGTCGCGGCGGAGGAGGGGGGGGCGGGCGGTAACGGGCCGTTAACGGCCCGGGTGAGGAGGGCGGGGGGGTGGGAGGGTCGGTTGAGGCGGTTTGGGCCCGGCTCAGGCGGCGGCACCCCGCTCCCCTTTCCTGACCTCGGTGAGACGCCGTCCTCTCCCCCCGCTTCCCCCTGCGCATCCCGGTTCCATGGCGTGACCCCCCGTCCTCCTCCGTTACCGGCTGCCGGCGACCCCCCCGCTCCCCTCCAGGTGCAGCGGCCAAGGGCCCAGACCTGCGGGGAGCCCGAGCCCCGTTCCCGGTGGCCGGTGCGGTTCTCCCGCAGCTCCGTCACGGAGGTCGGGGGGAGCCCCCTCCCCTCTCGCACCGCCTGTCCGTGTCACCCCCCACCCTTCACCGCACTCTCCGGGACCGGGACCCGCCTACGGCGGCTGTGGGGGCGCGGACACCGAGCCCCCCATCCCCGGAGACCCGGCGGGGGGGCTGCGAGAGGGGGATGGGGGTGTCCTTGCCGCAGGGACCGGGGGGTCTCCGCCGGGTGCGGCGCTGCGGGGCCGGGGGGGTCCGGTCCCGGGTCCCCCCGTGTGTCCGTCCCCGCAGGAAGTGGCCGGGAAATGGCAGCCGGTTGTTGCGTCTCGTTGTTTTTGAAACGTCCTTTTTAATCAGGTCGCGTCACGCTCCCGGGGCCTCCCGGTGCCACCGGGCCGGGGAGGCCGCAGAACCGGGGGAGCCGAGCTCTCTTCCCGGGGAATAGCACCGGCTCCACGGCACCGACAGTTTCCCCCTCAGCCTGGAGCTGTCCCTTGCCCCCCCAGCTCAGCTCCAGGGGACAGTCCTGGCCCCAGTGTCCCCGCGGGGATCCCAGGGGCCAGTGGGTGCCGCTGCCATCGGGTTTGACACCCGGGCGAGCGTCGCTGCCACGTTGGCCGTGCCCGGTGTGACAGGAGCCAGGGTCAGCCCCGGGCTCAGTGCCCGCCTTGTCACCCACCATCACCGAGGTCCCCAAGTGCCGCCATCCCCAGGTTCCTGCCCCTCGCCCTCCTCACCTCGCCCGGCTCCGGTTTCGTGCCGTGGCCCAGTTTCAGCTCCGCACTCGGTGGCTCAGGGCGGGGGGAGCGGGGCCACAGCAGCCCCGGTGCAGGTGGGAGGTGATGGGCGATGGGTGGCCGTGGATGGCCGTGGATGGCCGGTGTCCACAATGCACCTGGCACTGGCTGAGCTCCCAGCGATGCCAAGGGCGGTTCTGGCCTCTGCAAGGCCTGGGGTGTCCCTGGAGCAAGGGTGACGTTCCCACCTTGCTGGCTTTTATTTTCTCCCGGCCCCCTCCCCAGCCTGGCACGTGCCCAGACCATCCCAGTCCACCTCAGTCTGCAACCTGCAGCTGCCACCTGCCCGGTTCTGGCACGTCCCTTGGCCGCCTCCTTTGACCTCCAAAGCCGGCAGCGCGTTCCTGGCCGGCACATCAAGCACCGGGTGGGACCGGAAAGGCTTTTCCTTATCCAGCCCCGCTGCTGCCGGTGTCCCCACGCCCGGGGGTCCCAGCTGGGTCAGAGTAGAGGCCGGCTCACGGCTCGGGGGGGTGGCTGCGGGTCCATCCTGGGATGTCTGGGAGCCACGCGTGTATGGCAGCTGCGTCACCGCCCATACGAGTTTCTCCAGTGGATGAATCATCGGTGGCCCTGGCCAGGCTCGGTGGCCCCTCTGGCCCCTGCCAGGGCACCAGCTGAGGCAGGCGAGGATGTGATGAAATCCGGGTTTCGACACGAGCTGTGCCACCAGCCGCTGCTGAAGTGCCGAGTGCGGCAGCCTTGGCCCTTCCAGAGAGGTCGGTGCCACCTTGGCCAGTGGTGGGTTTGGCAAGCGTGGCACAACCAGGAGTTGCCAACGGTGGCAGTTCTGGGGGAGTTCCCAGCACTGGGGGTCCCACCTCATCTGCTGGGCTTGCAGGGCCTCAGCCCCCTGTGCCCTGTTCCGGGGCTGGACCCACTGGGATCCCTCCTTATGACCCCGGGTTTGAGGGAGCATTTGGGGCTCCTGGGGGATGTCACCGGTTCCTGCCTGAGCCAGCACTGGGGCTTCAGCTCCTGCTTGCTCCCAGCAGAGCTCTGGCCTCAAACCCTGGAGCTGTGCCTGGGGGATGGGGTTTGGGGTCCCCTCCACCTTGGGGGGGATGGCAGGGACACTGTCACCACAGGATCATTCCTGTGCCAGGAGCCTTGGGTTATGCTGAGTCCTCATGGGGTCACAGAGCTGCTTTGGGGGAGCCCATGTGGGTCCTTGGTTGGGAGCCCCCATGGTCTCACCCCAGGATGGTGGCACACGTTGATCACACCTTGGCAATGGCCGTCCCTGGGGACGCCGGTGACAGGCTGTGCTCAAGCAGGTGGCAACTCGTCCAGCTGGGGTGGCTGGCCCTGGGCCAGAGCGCAGTGCAGGTGGCATCTCAGTCCTGGGGGGGCTTCACTGTCACTCCTCACCCTGCCCAGCCCTCAAGCCCCAGGCTGGGGACCGCAGGGAGAGGGAATTGGAGGGTCAGTGTTGGGTGGGTCACCACACTGGCAGCACCAGCCCGTGACTGACCCCGGTGCATCTTCTCCCCCATGCAGAAATGGAAACAAACAACCATTTTAACTTCACTGGCCTTTCCTCTGCACCCGCTGCCTCAGGACCGAAACCCACGCCTGCCTCAGGGGACCCCCCCTTCACCCACAGCTCCCCGCTCAGCTTCCCCCCGCAAGGGAAAAGTAAGTGACCCCACGGGGACAGGGATGGAGGGGCCATGGGGCCAGAGGGGGCACAGGGATGGGAGGGGCTGCAGGGACAGAGGGGACACAGGGATGGGAGGGAAGCAGGGACAGAGGGCCTGCAGGGATGGAGGGGCTGTGGCCAGCGGCAGCTCCAGTGTGTGGGGCCAGGGCTGGGGTCTGCACGTCCCTGCCGCCGCCTTGGCCTAGAAAAGCAGCGGCGCCGGCACAGGGGCCGTGCGTGGATTTGGCCGGTCAGCTGATCTGGCACAGCCCTGCCAAGCGCTCGGCTAATCCCCGGCGTCCTGCGGTGCTCGGCCCGGTGCCGGCGGAGCCCGTGGCAGAGCCGGTTTGGCAAACGGGGACCGTGCAGTTCCCCACCCCACCCCCTGCTTCTATCCAGGCACAGAGACGGGGGGGGCACGAGCAGGGCTTGGCAGCTTCCCGGCCTGGTCATTGATCCATCCTCAAACCCACTGGAGAGACCCTGCGGCGCTGACCTCGCCGTCCCTCTGCTCCCTCGCAGGTCTGAACGGGGGCATGAATGTCAATGGCTTCTCTACTGTATCACACCCCGGTACTTCAGGGACGTTCTCGCCCGGCTCCGCGCCCGCCGGGGCCCAGCCCCTCCGCGCCTACGACTGCCTGTGGGACTACTCGCCCTACGCGCCCGCCGGTGGCCTCAAGGACGGGGCCCCGCCCGCCCTCGGACAGTTCCCCCTCAACGGCGTGGCCGGAGGGTCCCGGCCGGCATCGCCAGGACACGGCACCAACCTGCGGGCGGCTGGACAGGAGTTCTGGGGCAACGGCACGGCCGGGCCCATGGGGCTGAACTTTGACTCGCAGGAGCTCTACGACTCCTTCCACGACCAGAGCTTCGAGCTGATGCAGAACGGGCCCGACGGCTTCTATGCGGCGGGTCAGTCCTCGCCCATCCTGAGCTCGGACACGCAGCCCTTCCCACTGGCTCCGGCCGAGCCGGACCCCGGCCAGGGAGACGCTGAGGGCGCAGCCAAAGAGATGCCCACCACCACCACCACCACCATCGCAGAGAACGGGGGAGGGCTGGTGGGCAGCCAGGAGCTGGAGGAGGCACAGCCAGGTAGGAGCCTGGGAGGGCTGGCAGAACTGCTGGTCGAGTTGGGCATCATGTTCCTTGGGGAATCCCAGCTGCTCTGACCCACCTGCCCAGTGTCTTGGATGGGGTTTGGCTGGTCACAGGTTGGAGTAGGCGTTGGGATCTCGTAAAACCAGGCTGGGCACAGCCCGTGGTGTCGCTGCCCGGTGCCATGGAGGGCTGGGCATCCCAGTGCAGGGAACAGCGGTGGGGATCCCCCAGCTCTGTCACCATCACGTCTCAGGATCTGTTTTCGGTCGATTGTTCTCTTCAGACCTGAAGATCTGCAGCTACAACGGGGCTGCAGCCTCTGAGACGGGGTCGCTGGGGCCGGAGGGGCCCGTCCTGGCACCCAGGGAGAGCGGGTGCCTGGGGGCCGCATCGCCCATCGCCCCGCGGCTGGAGGACACCCACATCCTCAGCGAGGACCCTCTGGAGCCCTTCGAGTCGCTGGCCAGAGGTAGGGAGGGTGGCCAGGCGGGTGTCGAGGAGGTGCCGTCGGGGCTGTGGTGGGGCAGGGCGCGGAGCGGGGGCACAACCATTCCACCATTCCCTGCCCACGGTGCCCGGGGAGCAGCGCCAGCCCTTGTCCGTCCCCGTGTGGAGATGTGGCGATGGAGGCGGCGGTGGCCGTGGCTTTTTTCTCCGGGGGCAGGGGCGGGCCCGCGTCCCCGCCGCGCTCCGCCGGCCTTCCCTGCCTTCCTTCCCGTCCTTCCCAGCTCCGTGACGAGGCTGTTACTCAGCGCCTGAACTTCCGCGCTGCTGAGCATCGCCACGGCCATTTTGGGCTCCTCCGCTTCCCAGAGGAGGAGGCGGAGCTGGGGGGGGTGGTGGAAGGGGGGGAACAAACCCCATTTAACCCCTCAGCTGCCGGATCCTTTTCGGCCACTCCACGCCCCCCCACCCCCCCCACCCCACTCCCCGGGAGCGGAGATGTGGGTCCGTGTGCCCCCAGCCCTGGTGCTCACCCCCCTCCCCAGACCCCGGCACTGGCGACCTGTACGCGATGGACGACTCGCAGCTGGTGAGCGACAAGTCCTCCTTGGAGGAGCCCCCCGACCTGGCCGCCAGCCCCGCGCTCCACGCTGGCCCTTTCAGCCTGCTGCCCGCCAGCCCCTCGCCCGCCCCGCTGCTCGATGGCCCCGGCTCGCCCCCCGCCCTGCACGGTACGTGCGGCCCCGGGATGCTCCGGTGTCCCCCACACGGGGGGAAGGGCGGGGGTCACCCCACCGTCCTCGTTCCCCACGAGGGATGGACCGTGTGCCAGCGCCGGGAGCCCCCCGGCCGTGTCCGTGGCATCACCGAGGCCCCCGGGCAGCGCAGGGAGGGGACGCGCAGCCCCCGTGACGTGTCCGGTGACGTCCCTGACCTTGGCTCCTCAGGCGACAACGCCGAGCTCAACAGCGGCGACCACGCGGGGCTGCGGGAGTCGGCGTCCCTGGAGCTCGACCCTCCGCTGGAGCCGGAGTCTCCGGCCCCGTCCGCAGAGGAGGAGGAGGAGGACGAGGAGGAGGAAGAAGAGGAGGAGGAGGAAGAGGCCGCCGACAGCTGCCCGGAGACTTCGGCCGCGCCAGAAGGAGAGAGCGAGGAGCCCGCCCAGCTGAGTGCCTCGGGGGCAGGTATGGCCGCCGCTTTACCCCGCCGGGCTGACCCCTCCGGTGCCCCCCGGCCGCCAGCCCATCGTCCCACCTGTCCCCTCCCCGCAGGTGATGCCCCTCGCCGCCGCATCGCCACGCAGGAGGAGGTGCGCTTCCCGCTGCAGCACGGGTACGTGCCCTGTCCCCGTCCGGCCGTCCTTGCCCACCGTCCTGTTCCTGTCCCCCTCCCGCCCCACAGCTCTGGCCCCTTCCC